ATCTGGGCAGGCACATGGGCCTGGCATCAGTGTGCCATGCCACGCAGACACAGGCAGGTACTCAGACGGTCCTTCCCTGCAGAGAAGGCCAACAATGGAGGCAGAGCATTGCTGTTGGAGGGAACAGCCAGGCCAGCCCACTACGACTGGGGGGGACAGGGGCAGGGGTGGAGGCCTCAAGGGCAAACTGGGTCACTGTAAGGAGTTTGGATTTTGAGTGAGAAGCCTGTGGAATTTTCAGCAGGAATAGATGCTCAAACCCAACCTCATGTTTTATTTATTTATTTACAGGCAGGATCTCACTCTGTCTCCAAGGCTGAAGTACAATGGTACGATTATAGCTCACTACAGCCTCGTCCTACTGGGCTGAAGTGATCCTCTCCTCTCAGCCTCCCAAATTTCTAGGACAACTGCCACCATGCCTGGCTAATTAAACAGATATTGTTGGCTGGGTACAGTGGCTCACGCCTGTAATCCCAGCACTTTGGGAAGCTGAGGTAGATGGATCTCCTGAGGTCAGGAGTTCGAGACCACCCTGGCCAACATGGTAAAATCCTGTATCTACTAAATAAAAAAAAAATTAGCTGGGTGTGGTGGCACGCATCTGTAGTCCCAGCTACTCAGGAGGCTGAGGCAAGACAGTTGCTGGAATCCAGGAGGCAGAGGTTGCAGTGTGCCAACATCACGCCATTGTATCCAGCTTGGGCGAGAGTGAGACTCCGTCTCAAAAAACAAAAAATTATTTTAGAGCTGGCATCTCACTATGTTGCCCAGGCTGGTCTGAATTCTTGGTCTCAGGCAAGCCTTTCACCTCAGCCCCACAAAGCACTGGGATTACAGGAGTGAGCCACCATGTCCAGCCTAACAGATGGTGTTTTTTTTTTTGAGACAGAGTTTCACTCTTGTTGTCCAGGCTTGAGTGCAATGGCGTGAACTTGGCTCACCACAACCTCTGCCTCCTGGGTTCAAGTGATTCTCTGCCTCAGTCTCCTGAATAGCTGGAATTACAGGCTTGTACCACCATACCCAGCTAATTTTGTATTTTTAATAGAGACAGGGTTTCTCTATGTTGGTCAGGCTGGTCTTAAACTCCTGATCTCAGGTGATCTGCCTGCCTCAGTCTCCCAGAGTGCTGGGATTATAAGCATGAGACACCACATCCAGCCAATAGATATTTTTAAGAGATCACTTTATCTGCTGGGTGGAGAATCATTCGTTGTGGGTCAAAAGGTGAAGGCAGGAGCAGAAGGTGAGCACAGGTGAAATGCAGAGCCCTAGGAGGGTGGGGGGCCCAGCAGGGCTGTCTCAGGGGCTGCTGCTGTGCCTTCCTAGGACTCTGGGCCCCTTATCCACACCTGGAGGGTGCAACTCATCACCTGGCTTCAGACAGGTTTCTGATAAGAACCAAGGAGGTCTAGTGTGTGTGCCTCTAAGAACGCTTCTTCTTGGGGAAAATTCTGTCTCTCTCTCAGGCACTTTGCATCTTCTGAGTCTTTTGGCCACTGCACCCTCACACCCTCGCCACCCTGCTCCTGGCATTTACAGGCACGTGGCGCTGCTCCCATGAACAGATGTCCCCACGTTTTCATGGCTGACGTGCGCATGTGTGCAACGACCCACGCAGATCGCCAAAGTGCCAGGGCAGCTTCTAGAGCCATGACACCAGGGTTCAAATCCCAGCCCAACTTCTTTCTGGCTGAGCGATCTAGCTGGACTTGGACAAGTCCTGAGCCTCTCTGGACCTCAGTTTCCTCATTTGTGCCACAGGGGAACGGCACCGACATCACAGCATTACCACAGGATTAGATGAATTGTCACACCTGCAAGTCTCAACTGCTGTTATTACATTATCAGGTACAAACGCCACCTGCACCTCCCCCACAGGCTCACAGTCATGAGCTATCACATGCCCAGGCAGGCCCAGGGGCCCCTCAGGCATGGGGATCTGGGCAGTGGCAGCAGGCTGGGTGGGGAGTACAGCTGGGCTGGCAGCAGATTTGCAGGTTGGGGTCCTCACCCCGGGCCACCTGGCTGGGACCGAAGGTCACAGAAGCATCTAACTGGGCCTTGAGCAGCTGAAGCTGCTTCATGGCCTGCAGCACCTCTGGGGTGGCCTTGGCCACACCCCCCAGAAGGTTGTAGTTTTCACCAGGGTCCTCGGATAGGTCATAGAGCAGTGGGGGCTCATGAGCCGTCAGAGAGCTGGAGGCATGGCAGGCAGGGTCTGGAGTGGTCTCACTGTGGGCAGAGCCTGGGGAGGGGGCCAATTCTGAGCACAGGCAAGAGCGAGAGAAGGGGCCAGGGATCTGGGGCTCCTTGGAGGGGTCTGCAGGTCAGGGGAAGGGATCCATGGGGAGGGAGTTACCCTGGGTGAAGAAGTGAGCTTTGTATTTTCCGCTCCGCACAGCAAAAACCCCACGGACCTCGTCTGGGTAGGACGGGTAGAAGAAGAGAGATTGCCGAGGGCTCTGGGGACAGAGTCAGGGGTTATGCGGCGGGACAGGCCCTGAGCATCACACATACCCAGAGCTGCAAGACCTGGTGTGAGGCCCTGGACGTGGACCACTTCTCACCCACCCAAGAACCTGAAACATGCCACCACTTGGATGCCACTCAATGCAGGAGGCGCTGAGGCACGGACTCTCAGGCACTGCCCACACTCACCCCAGGACAGGGGCCGAGGAGCTGGGATCAGGGGTCACTGGTCTTACCTTGCCTGTGCCCAGCAGCAGGGGGCTGAGGTCAAAGCCATCCAAGGTGACATTGGGCAGTGGGGCCCCAGCCAGGGCTGCCAGGGTAGGCAGCAGGTCCAGGGAGCTGGACAGCTCGTGGGTCACGCCTGGGGGCAGGAGGCTGTTGGGTCACTCAGTTCACCATCAGGGTTGGGATGGTAGGGCCATGGTTCCCAAGGAGAAGGCCTGCGGACTGACCAGGAGTGATGTGACCGGGCCAGAAGGCCAAGGCAGGCTCTCGGACACCCCCCTCGTAGGTCGTCCCCTTTCCACACCTCAGGAGGCCAGAGCAGCCGCCTCGGGACATGCGCATCGTCTCAGGTCTGGACACAGGAGGAGATCATGAGCCATGGAGCCACAGCCTCTGAGCCACCGAAGGTGACTAGTGGCCCCACATCTCTAAGTCACAAAACTTGCCTGGAAGTGCCCAGCACGAGCCCAGGGCCTCCCAGGCCTACCAAAACCAGTTCTCTGTGCACTTGTGTCTCCTGGCGCACTATCAGTTCCAGCAATGTGGCCAGTGTCTCCTGACACCACCTTACCCACTATGTTCTTGAACTGCAAGGCACCCAGGGTCCTGGCCTGTGACAGGTGGGAGCACTCCGCCATCCTGCTGGCATACCCATTGTCTGCTGTGAAGATGACCAGCGTCTCTTCAAGCAGTCCCAGGTCCCCTATGGCTGTCATCAGGGCCCCCACAGCTGCATCCAGCTCCATCAGCGAGTCCCCAAATGGCCCTCGGCCTGAACGCTCTGCAAAGCTCTGCCCACTGAACTGAGGGTAGTGGGTGTGCTGGGGGCAAAGACTGGAGTTAGCACTGGGTAGGGGTCATGGGCAGCCGGGGCATGGGGCCAAGATCACTTACGTGAGAGGCATAGTACAGGAAGAAGGGGCGATCCTGGCGCTGGGCGTCAGCCATGAGGTCACGGGCGAATGCAATGTAGCGGGCCTCTAGTCCAGGCAGCCAGGGGGGCTGTGCCTCCACTGACAGGTTGGCCAACAGTGGGATGGGGACTAGGCCCTGGTCACAGCCGCCATCACAGGGTGTATCCGGGGGGAAGCAGGTCAGGTTCTGGCAGGGGCCCTGAGGGGGGCAGCTCCAGTGAGGGCTGGGCTGGCAGATGGGGCGGAGGGAGGATCAAGGGCTGGGGACTTTGGGAGGTGGGTGGGTAGCTGAGGGTCCCGGGGGTTCCTACCTGGTCGTGGGAGTATGGAATGCCTAGAAATCGATGGAAGCCCTGATGCGGGGGCAGGAAAGCCCCCTCAGGCCCCACCCCAAGGTGCCACTTGCCAGCCATTCCTGTGAGGTAGCCTTGGGCAGCCAGGACCTCGGCCAGGGTAACCTCCTCCAGGGGCAGGCCCCCCCGGGAGCTGGGCACCAGGACTCCAGGGTACATGCCCATCCGAACCGGAAGCCGGCCGGTCAGGAGGGCGGCCCTGTAGGACAAGTCAGACAGAAATGCGGCCTTCCCCAGAGAGACAGAGAGGGAGAGAGACAGACGGTTTTCCCTCTCTCCTGCAATCCATTTCACGTCCGGGAGGAACGGGATGGAGGGGCGGGGAAGGGGCGCAGCCCCCTCCTTACCGAGAGGGTGTGCACAGAGACACAGGCACGTAGAAGTCTGTGAACCGCAGCCCCCCTGCTGCCAGCTGGTCCAGGTTCGGGGTGGTGGAGCTGGGGTGCCCATAGCAGCCCAAATCCCCATAGCCGAGGTCGTCAGCAAAGATCAGCACGATGTTGGGCGGGCGGGCGGCGGCCAGGCCAGCAGCCAGGGCCAGGAGGAGGGTCCGCGGTGCCCCCATGGACACGGGACCGAGGGGTCTGCCCCCAGAGAGGGAGGGCCCCTGGGCCCCAGCAGGCTCTTTCCGAGACCCCAGACCCAGGTACCGCCCTCCGCTGGGGCCCCAGACCCCAGGACTCCCCGACCAAGTTCCGGAGGACCGGGGCCGGACAGAGCCCGGAGACCGTGGGCTGGGACGTGACTCCCCAAGTCCCTCCTCCGGGACCGGGACACCTCCAGATTCTCGAGCGCAGATTCGATCGCCTTCCGCCGGCGGTCCGGGCTCAGGGTCGGGCATAAGTCACCTCACGCCGAGCAGCAGATTCGGGGCCGCGGCCGACGCGGCTCGGAGCTCGGGGGGCGGGTCCGGGGCTGCGGCGCTTCCGCCTCGGCCCCGCCCGAGACCTGAGTTCTCGCGAGACGGGGCCGGGGCCGGGGCGGCCCGGGGCGAGGGGCGTGGCCGCGCGTGCGCGCTCCGAGCCCGCGGTCTGCGCCCGAGGCGGTCTCGCCGCGGGCCAGGGCGGGTTCCGGCCGCTTCTGCGCGGTCGGCTCCGGCCGCGGCGTCCGGGCTGCGCGGGGCTCGGCGCGGCGCAGTGTCCGGCGGCCTCTCGGTCCGGGTCTTCTCCTGAGGAGGAGCGGCGCGCCCGGCGACCCGAGACTGAGCGCGGACAGAAATGGCCACCCGGTCAATGAGCAAAGCGCAAGGAAAACCGTGCGGGCCCCGGACTAGCAGAAGCCTCGACACGCTTTCTCCTGCGTAGGTGTGTCTGTGTGCGTGTGCGCTGCGGTGTGGGTGCGGGGCTGGTGTGCGAGTGTGCGGCCTGAGGGGCGTGTGCGGCGTTTGAGGGGCGTGTGCGGGGTTTGAGGGGCGTGTGCGGCCGTGAGGGGCGTGTGCGGGGCTTGAGGGGCGTGTGCGGCGTTTGAGGGGCGTGTGCGGCCGTGAGGGGCGTGTGCGGCCGTGAGGGGCGTGTGCGGCCTTGAGGGGCGTGTGCGGCCGTGAGGGGCGTGTGCGGCGTTTCAGGTTGTGTGTGTCTCGTTTGAGGGGCGTGTGGTGTTTGAGGGGTATATAATGTTTGAGGTTTGTGTGTGTGTTTGAGGTGTGTGTGTAGGGTGTATGTGGTGTTTCGGAGGTATATTTGGGTGGTATTTGAGGGGTGTGTGTGTAGTGTTAGAGGTGTGGCATGCGTGTGTTTGTGGTGGTTGTGTGTGTGTGTGTGTCTGCGGTGTGTGTGTGTGGTGTGTGTTTGGGGTGGTTGAGGCATGCTGTGGTGGGGAATGTGTGTCGGGTCCAGTCTGGCCTGCCTCAGGGTTACGCTGCTGGGGAAAAGCTCATCTGAAGGCAACATGATTGTGCCCTAGCTCCTTCATTGGACAACCTTGGACTTAACCTTTTTGATCTTGAAGGAAACCAAAATATGTGACCTTAAAATATATCTCCTTGACATGGCTGAAGACAGTTACTCAGAAGGACTGGAAATAGAATAGCTAAAAAGCTGTCTTTTGTGGGGGAGATTTGCATCTGTGGAGAGAATCTATATTGATGCGGCCGGGCTTTCTCTGAGGCCTTCCCTTGCCTGATGTGGGAAGAGTAACGGAGTCTAACACCTTTAAAGGTCTGAAGGGAACATTCACCATCTATTCTCTCTGAGGGCTGCTACCTGTGAGGTTTCATCTATAGAGCAAGGCCACCTTTGCCAGCCAGGCCTCCTCTCCTCTCCCTCCTGTAACTGGTCTTGCTGCTGTAACTTGATTTTCCACCATAACCTGTTTATGGCCATGCTTTGAGTCCCCGTTCTTTCTTTAACCTCAAGATGGTATATAAGCTTCTGAATCCCATTGGGAGGTTGGGGTCATCACTCTGGTTCTCACTGTGTGTATGAATAAATCTGTATGCCTTTTGTCTTATTAATCTGGCTTTTGTCAGTTGATTTTCTGTGAGTTCTCTAAGTTCAGACGGTTTTCTCTAGGCTCCTACAGTTTTGGTGTAGTCAGTTGGATAACTAAAGTCACTCTACTGGGAGCCTCCATCAAGGGAACCCAGGATCTGACAAGCTGACAGAAGGGTAAGAAAGTTTTAGCAGCTAGGCTCCTGGCCTCTCTGTGGAATCTTGTCAAACCAATGGTAAAAATCATTGTTTATTTTGTTTTCCTCTTCTAAGTCTTTTTTTTTTTTTTTTTTTTTTTAGATGGAGTTTCACTCTTGTTGCCCAGGCTGGAGTGTAATGGTGTGACCTTGGCTCACTGCAACCTCCACCTCCCAGGTTCAAGCAATTCTCCTGCCTCAGCCTCCCAAGTAGCTCGGATTAAAGGCATGTACCACCACACCCGGCTCATTTTTTGTATTTTTAGTAGAGACAGGATTTCTCCATGTTGGTCAGGCTGGTCTCAAACTCCAGACCTCAGGTGACCCGCCCACCTTGGCCACCTGAAGTGCTTGGATTACATGCGTGAGCCACTATGCCCGGCTCCTCTTCAAAGTCTTAATGAGAGAAATGTATTTATATTGTTTGATTGCTTTTTCCACAGAAATAGTTATCCTTCATCCTTGTCTTTCTATGTTATTCTGTCATAAAGAGGGGTGTCATAGGGTGGAACACAGGCCTAAAACCTCTCAGGCCCAGGGTTTGAGCTGGCCCTGCAGGCTAGTCAGTTTTGCAGCTCTGATCAGATGTGTCTAGTTAGACAAACTTTGCCATGGGTCCCTGAAATAAAAACTGGTTCAGATTCTCCCTCCTTGAGAGCTTGAGTTGTGACCAAGTGGGAGTGATGCAGGGCAGGCAAACCCCACAGTGGAGCTTAGCCAGGGAGGGTTCTTGGCTTTGCCCAGGAAAGAATTCAAAGACAAGCCAGGGGTAGAAAAAAACAGCTTTATTGAACAGGTGGCGTTACAGCTCTGTGACTGCTCCTGCAGAGCAGGGCTACTCTGTGGGCAAAGAGTAACAGCTCAGGGCAGTTTTGCAGTCACATTTATACCCACTTTTGATTGCATGAAGATTAAAGGGTAGTTTATGCAGAAATTTCTAGAGAAGGAGTAGTAATCATCGGGTCATTGCCATGGAAAGGGGTGGTAACTCCTGGGTGTTACCATGGTAATGGTAAGCTGATGTGACACAGTGGCCGGCATATCTGATTGAAACCTGCTTTTGCCCCAACCCTGTTTTAGTCCTCAACCTGGTCAACTGTCCAAGCCCTGCCTCTGGAGTCAAGTCCTGCCACCTACCTCAGGAACACTCTCTTGGTCTCTGCCATTCAGAGGTAGTGATTGGCAGGTCACATCCTGTGGTCAGTCTGAAAATGGTTGGGAACCCAAGACAGGTAAGATTTTAAGCAGCACAGTTTTTGTTCAGAATGTGTCAAGCTCTCAGTTTGTCTTAAGAAGTCCCTGCCAGGTGAGGTGTCAGAGCCCCCACATTAGGAAGTGGTCAACTTTCGGGTTGGTAAAAAGAGTTTACTGACAACAGTATAGGTTTGAAAAAGGAAAGTTTGGCTGGGCATCATGGCTCTTGCGAGTAATGCCAGCACTTTGGGAGGCCAAGGTGGGTGGATCACCTCAGGTCAGGAGTTTGAGACCAGCCTGGCCAACATGGAGAAACCCTATCACTACTGAAATATAAAAATTAGCCAGGTGTGGTGGCACGTGCCTGTGGTCCCAGCTACTCAGGAGGCTGAGGCAGGAGAATCGCTTGAACTTGGGAGGTGGAGGGTGCAGTGAACTGAGACAGAGCAAGACTGTCTCGGGGAAAAAAAAAAAAAAGAAGTTTGCTAGGCACAGTGGCTCACACGTGTAATCCCAGCACTTTGGGAGCCTGAGGTGGGTGGATCACCTGAGGTCAGGGGTTCAAGACCAGCTTGGCCAACATGATGAAACCCTGTCTCTACTAAAAATACCTCCCCCCCAAAAAAAAAATTAGCTGGGCATGGTGGCGGGAGACTTATAATCCTGGCTACTTGGGAGGCTGAGGCAGGAGAATCGCTTGAACCTGGGAGGCGAAGGTTGCAGTGAGCTGAGATTGTGCCATTGCACTCCAGCCTGGGCAACAAGAGTAAAACACTGTTTGTGGGGGGCGGGGGGGGGGGGGGGGGAGACGGGGACACGACGGACAACAAAAGTTTATAAGTTCATTAGCAAGAACGCTACAGAAGAGTGTAGTGGGGTGCCTCATCGAGAGGACTGAGCGTGCTGGGTGGATTTTTACTTAGGGGTATTTATAGACCTTAAAGTGGGGGCATAACAGTAATTTGGACCATATTGGCCATGTAGGTCATGATAAACGATTACATTTGTAGTAATTTTGTTGCCTTAATGTCAGCAAGTGTTGCACAATGAGTTTCGGCCTGGCATTCCAGAGATGTATAGAAATTCTAGTTACATAGCTGGGCATGGTGGCGCGTGCCTGTAATCCCAGCTACTCGGGAGGCTGAGGCAGGAGAATTGCCTGAACCCAGGAGGCGGAGGTTGCGGTGAGCCGAGATCGCGCCATTGCACTCCAGCCTGGGTAACAAGAGCGAAACTCCATCCCAAAAAAAAAAAAAAAAAGAAATTCTAGTTACAATTTTTTGGGGGGAAAAGAAATCTGGAACCAAATGCCTGCTTTAGATAACAGGGAAGTCTAGACACTTCTAATTTTCCCCAGATAAGGAGTTTTGCCTCTGATGGCCTGTTTAATGGCTGCCAGGTGGTCTTTGCTCCCTCTAAATTTCTCAGATAAGGAGTTTTTGTCTCTAGGGCCTGTTAAATGGTCACTAGGTGATTTTCACTCTCCTCAGTCCCATCTATAAAGGGCTATTGTTGTCTTAATCCTTGTTGCCTGGTCAGTCCTCAGAAAGTCCAATCCCAGCAGGGCCTACCCTGTGTCACAGGTTAATGAGTCTGTGACCGGCAGCCATGTACAAATCTGTGGGTTACTGGAGGGACTGTATGTATAAACACCATCCTTAACTGTCTCTGGCAACAAGAGTCTTTTGCTATCTTTGCCTATTCCTGGGAGTGAATTTTGGGGGCATCATTGGATCTACCTCTTTTGTGTCCTCTCTAAATCTGGGAAATTGCCTTTTGGGCTTTCCATGAAGAGGCTTATTGGATTGAGTTGCTACTGAAATAAATACATCATTGGAAATTCTGATTGTCAATAGACAAAAGATGAATCCTTTAAATTAGAAAGATCCTTAAATTAAAAAAAAAAAAAAAAATTTTAGAGTTCTCTTATTCTAAACAAATGCCTTATTTGTATTTGTGGGAAAGTTGAAGGAAAGACATAATAGTGTTGTGGCTAGCCTTAGAAACCCTCTTCACAAAATTAAAAAGCAAAAACCTGACTTATAACAAGTTAAAATCCTTTGTATGCTCTAACCGCTTGCTTTGGATCCCTGCAGGATTCACAATGAAGACTGCGCCATCTTGGAAACTACTTAAAATTCTGTAGTTTCACTACCATGGCCTGAGTTCAATTCCCAGTAGAGGAACCAGTCCCTTTTGGTTTGATATTTGTGTGACTTTTGACTTTCTTTTTTTTTTCCCCCCCAAGATGGAGTCTTGTTCTGTCACCAGGCTGGAGTACAGTGGCATGATCTTGACTCACTGCAACCTCTGTCTCCTGGATTTAAGCAATTCTCCTGCCTCAGCCTCCAGAGTAGCTGGGATTATAGGCACACGCAACTATGCCCAGCTAATTTTTTATTTTTTGTATTTTTAGTAGAGACAGGGTTTCACCATGTTGACCAGGCTTGTCTCGAACTCTTGACCTCATGATCTGCCTGCCTTGACCTCCCAAAGTGCTGGGATTACAGGCGTGAGCCACCGCACCTGGCCGACTTTTGACTTTCTGGGGTACTCATTTGTTATTAATCCTTCCCCCTTCCATGGACAGCTTTGATTTCCTTTCTTTTAACTGTCTTTGGGGTGGTTCTGGGTGTTGTAAGGACTGCTTTGTGCCTCTTTGAAGATGCCTGTGTGTCCTTGTTAAGTCTATAACTTTGGTTAAGGCTTATTGGTTTTGATGAGTCACTTGGGAGAGTACCTTTGGTTAAAAAAAAAAAAAAAAGCTCAAAAGCCATGGATATCAGCTGTTTGTCTCAGCTAAAATATGGTCATAAGATATTTGAAAGGAATTTTTTTTTTTTTTTTTTTTTGAGATGGAGTTTTGCTCTTGTTGCCCGGGCTGGAGTGCAATGGCGTGATCTTGGCTCACCACAACCTCCACCTCCTGGGTTCAAGCGATGCTCCTGCCTTAGCCTCCTGAGTAGCTGGGATTACAGGCATGCATATTAGTTTTATTTGGTATGTAAGCATTATACAGAACGCATGGTCAAATAAGAAATAATGTTTAACTTTCCAGGTTGGAGTACAATGGCATCATCTCTGCTTACTGCAACCTCTGCCTCCCGGGTTCAAGTGATTCTCCTGCCTCAGCCTCCTAAGTAGCTGGGATTACAGGTATGCACCACCGTGCCTGGCTTACTTTTTGCATTTTTATTAGAGACGGTGTTTCTCTATGTTGGTCAGGCTGGCCTCAAACTCCTGACCTCAGGTGCTCTGCCTGCCTCAGCCTCCCCAAATGCTGGGATTATAGGCGTGAACCCGGCAACTTTCTTTGAGTTCTATTTGAATAAAGGTGTTATTAATGTGTTCCAAAATGTTACGAAATTCCTAAAATTCTGCTATATCTTGCTATAAGTCATAAGTATTATGTTAAATTGTTGTATGTCACACAAAAAAACAAATTTCCTTGTCAATTGCGTCTTTAACTATCATTTTTCCAAGTCATCTGTCACCCACAGTCAAGTATTGTTTTACTTTGATTCTTTTTAAAAAGCAGCTTGTAATTAGCTACAGTTCAAGACTTGCTTCTCCCTCAAGGAAAGTCATGTAAAGTACCCTGACAAGTACTTTTGAATACAGGTTTCTGGTAACTTTGGAGATCATACCATTGGACTAGGTAAAAAAAACTTTCCAGGACTCCAGTAAAAACACACACAAGGGCCGGGTGCAGTGGCTCAAGCCTGTAATCCCAGCACTTTGGGAGGCCAAGGCGGGTGGATCACGAGGTCAAGAGATCGAGACCATCCTGGTCAACATGGTGAAACCCCGTCTCTACTAAAACTACAAAAAATTAGCTGGGCATGGTGGCACGTACCTGTAATCCCAGCTACTCAGGAGGCTGAGGCAGGAGAATTGCCTGA